CAGACTGTCATAAAAAAATCGGATATGAGTCAGATGGGTCAAAAAAATCGGATTTGGGTTGGATTTGTCTGCAGTGTGAACGTAGCCAGAGTCACTGTTTACAGGCAGACAAAAGGTTGGTGTGAAAATGTGGACTGGATAACAACCTGGCATGTCTCTGTGTGTAACACCACGGGTTGCAGTGAAAATGTGGACTGGATTTATATCAATACTTGTACTGTCTTTTTATAATGATAAATTGGACTGGAGTTGAGTTTTTGACGTTAGTCAGTTCACAGCGTGAGAAAGTGGGGGTGTGGCGTGAGAGCATGTAAAACACTCAGATGCGTATGTCACGCTCAGTGCGTGAGACTTGAGAGCCCTGTATTAGCTTGGCGCTAGCGCGACAAACTAACAAGCTAAACTGAAGTCCTCCATATATATTTTCAGTTGCAGGCTGAGTCATTTTTGTGTTCCCCTCTCTGTCATGTGGATGGAGGACCTCAGTGACGAAAGGAGAATGTGTAGCTCTGAGCTAATACATATACATGGTGATAGTGGCTGTATCTCAATTCAGGGATTGCAGGCGATGTGGACCGGTCGACGTCAGATAGYAGTCRACGTGGTCCGAAGGCTGCACCTGTCGGCTGCATGAAAGGGCTGTGAATCTGGACGGTCTAGGCTGCGGATGAAGTTTGTTTACGTGACAACGTGCTGCGCCATAACCACATGTGCGAACAAGTGTGTAAAATGGATCGTTAAATGGAAAATGTAATTTCTATACTTTTTGCATTAATGGAGAAGCTGAATGTTCGTCGTCGACGTCATTACATTTACTTTAGGTTGACAGAAGACTGCAGCAATGTAAGAACTGTTTAAGCTTAATTTATTTCTAAAATTAAAAAAATATGAAGCTTTGAGGTCAGTTTTTATACAGTGCATTCGGTTATTTAAAAAAAACCTTGAAATTTAACCAAAACACATTTGTTATCAAATAAAGTGTCAGTAATTTGTTCTTTCAAATTTAATTGTGTTTCCTCATTTTTGTTAGATTGAAATGTAGTAATTATTAGCCCGAACCCTATTCCTAACTCTGAGAAAGTTGTGACTAGGGTTATACTTCTGAGAAACGTGTATATACAGTAGCAGTTAAATGTAAAGAATAATTTTGTGAC